CGTCTCGCAGGTTCTCATGGACCTTCTCACCACCTCTCTCTTACAGACACAGGCCTGGGCTACCACACAGTATTATCACAGTAACAATGTGGAGAACTTATGTCATTGTTAGAAGATACATCCAGACAATGTTGTGACACTGAGCTGACTCAGGCCCGGGATGCCAGGAGCAAAACCCGGCAGGAAAAACATCATACTGTAAACACTGTCAGACTGGCTTGTTGTCATAATGGTGTCATGTCAGTCTCTTGCATGCTTCAAATAAAGTGTTATCGTTTACTCATAAAATAGTTCATTTGAAACAAAATAACAAATGCATAGCTAGAGAGCCAGCAAAGTGTCCTCTTGTTACATTTTTGTTTGCTGTAGTGATCAATTTAAGGAGTGCTACACTAAATAAATAAGCAAATAGCCTTAGTAATTAACATAATTCATAACAATACCAAATATTCCAGTTTTAAAAATAAGGATCACATACAAGCCACACTATTGTTTACCTCGTCCCCTCTTTCATTTTGAAAAGAGATATCAATGTATCGTATATATCTGTGTGTGTGTGTGTGTGTGTGTGTGTGGCTTCCGTGGAAGGCAACCCACAGCATCTATAGATACAAAATGGCTCATTCTAAGGTAACAAAAATTCTTATTCTTATTATCAGGTGAATATACATTAAGGAAAACATATCTATTAATGTTATATTCAATTTCTGCCAGTAGATTGTCATAAATGTTTAATCGTGTTTGTGTCATATGACTTTGGTCTAAAATAATAATAATAAATAAAAGTATACTCTCTCTTTGTTGCTGAAATTTTTATAATTCTTTTCCCTATGGGCTAAGCATGTCAGTGCCTCATATAACAGTCACTGTCAGTGTTTTGTGACATATTGCCCACATTCACATACTATAGACTGTTTTATGAGACCAGTTTGAGCTACTGTACAAGAATAACCATCTCTTCTAATCATCCAATAAATTAAAAAACAGAGCCTAAATCCAAAACTGTATCAATGTGTTTAAAATGTATTTAACTCAGGACATAGTGTCTTGAATTCATTTTTATTCTTGTTTACAAAAGTTTGTACTGATATTGCACATCTAGACATTAAACTGTGTGGTGCCTTTTTAGACTGTGATACTGCTGCTTCAGCTAAAGTAAACAATCAGAATATTTCTTTCACCTCTGCTTGCTTACATACTATATATATAAAAGGAACAGACGATATGCCAGAGTTCTCTGTGTCAGTGTAGAGAGCCGCACCAGATCAGTTATTTCCTGCCCTTCACTGACTGCAGGAAGAATTTCCCTGAGATATGTTTTCTCCTCCTTGACACCAGGGAGTCTAGGAAGCAGCTCAAGCAGCTATCACTATCAGAAATATAGCTAGTGGCCCACTGACAGCTGAAGCAGGGCACTGAGCAATCCATTTCAATTCAAATAGCTTTATTGGCATGTACCAAAACATACTGTTGCCAAAGCAGTTTACAATAGATTTACATATATTACATATACATATTAAATGTACATGTGTCACAGATGCAGTCCATTCTTTGGTTGCTATACAATACGATAATGATTGTGAGTCACTCAGGCTGTGGCAAGCAAATACATATTTAGCTGCCAGAGGAGCTGCTGTCCCTTCATCTTGTCAGAAGAACTGCCAGTTTCTCTTCTGGGGTTAATATTAAGAACTTTATTATTTTGGCTATTTTCCCGTAGTGCCCATCTGTCAGAAAAGCTCCTATTTGCTGCAGACAGCAGTTACCATACACACACTACTCTCTGAGTAGTCATGTCTGTCTATATCTTTCTATTTTTACTGTCCGTTAGTGTTGACTGTTCTTGTGGAGATAGTCAGCCAATTTAGACTCTATGTTTAGAGTCAAATAATAATTGTGTCTACTTTTTTGTTTGTTTGTTTGTTTTTTGGGAGGGTGGTCCTCCTCCTTTTAGACTTAAGTACAGCATCTGGTGCATTGTCATCTAGAGGATAAATGTCTGGTTCAACTTCACTGTATAGTCTGCTTTAGCTTTGCTTTATCCTAAATCTGTCCTGTTTGATCTTATCTTTTGCCCCCCTGTCATGCAGGGTTGGGGTCCTCCAAGGTTAATTTTAAAGGGCCAGTTTGTAGGATTTAGTGGCATCTAGCGGTGTAGTTGCAGATAACAACCCACTTGCCTCACCCACCATTTCCAAGTATGAACGAGAAATTCTCCCTACACACCATATTACTCAAATATGGAATGCAATCCTGATGCCACTCCTCCTCGGGCATCTTGACCTCATTTTCAACTGGTGCAGAATGCTGCAGCATGACAATTAAATTCAGAAAAAGAGAGCAAATGTTAATGTAAATCACTTAATTGTCATTTCACAGTATATACAGCGTTTACATACATGAAACAAAATTTTCAGTTGTCCTAGCAAGTGGTAGAGAGAGTCATACTGAGACATACTCATCATCTCTGAGGCTTAACAGAACATCATCTTGGTATCTGAACCATGCTCTGTCCCTGTCTCATATTGCCAGCAGCACACAGTTTGACTCAACAGGTACAGGTCTGGGGATAAAATTTCAGACTGAAATTAAGATTAATGGTGGTTAAGTCTGGAGACAAATCCAGAGGTCATTTATGCAGGGTTAGTATCATTCCAGGTAGCACTAAGAGTACACAGGAAATTAAATTAATATTAACAACAAAATATCTTACTGCTCTCTTTTAAAGTTTCAGTTTACAGTAGGACTCTGTAATACCACAAACTAGAGCCATGTGTTTAGATTAACTCCAAAATAAAACATTTGTAACGTCATGTTGGTTTAAAATACTTCTTAGTACTTCTCAGTAGGCTAAAGTTACCCAGCAGTAAAAATAATTCCCCCCAGTGAAGCCAGTTAAGGTTAACATGGTTGCCAAGCAACAATATCTCTCACTAAATTGGTCACATGTGTCACTCAAGGCTTTAATAAAGTTGAGTTAAAGTTGAGAGCTCTTCATTTAGTACTACCATTTACTTTTAATATATAGGATGCTTGTGAGTGTGAGAGTAAGACGTGTCAATGAACAATAAGAATATAAGATGTGCAAATAAAGATATTAATTTATGTCAGGTAAGCTTCTATATTATTTCTGTTCAAAGCATTCTTGATCATCACATACTAACAAACATGTTTAGTTATCCATTAGAAAGGCTGATAAAGCATAGGATTGGATAAGCAAAAATAATTTAGAATTCCCTTTTACTCATTAATCCTCAGTGTTCTCCTTGCCCTCTTTCATTTGCACAGTCCATTGCCAGGAAGACATGGCTGATACTGCTTGAAATAGCCTTTGGTGTAACTTAGTCCTGAGTGAAAATACCCCTGATTCATCACCTATATTGGATTCTTCTTAAGTGGATCAGATAAAATGGTATATGCG